TCCACTCTATTTCAGATCCCTCTGTGAGGCTCTTGTGCCTTGAGAGGGTCAGCAACACCTCTCAGTTTGGTATCATCGGCAGACTTGCTAATGGTGCATTCAAGTCCTGCATCCAGATCATTGATAAACTTATTGACCAGAACTGGTCCTTCAGTGAATTCCTGAGGAATACCACTGGTTATTGCTCACCAGGCAGATGTAGCCCTATACACTAAAACCCCTGAAGTTCTGACATTCAGCTGGTTCTTCATCCAGCACACTGTGAACCTGATCATCACAGCAGCTTGTCCAGAACAATACTTTGAGGGACAGCACCAAAAATCTTACCAAAATCTTACTAAATATTACTAAAATCAAGAAAAGCCTCACCTACCACCTTCCATTCATCCACTAGGCAAGTAACCTTATTCTAGATGGGTATCAAATTAATAACTGGGACTTTCCCTTTATGAGCCCACAATGACTATGCCTGGTGATTGCATTGTCCTTGAAATACCTTTTAACAGCATCCAATTTGATTTGACAGGCATCCAGTCAAAATACTTGTCTTCTGGACTCAATTCAGCAGTGTAGAATTATTGTGTATCCTTTTCCTATGTTGCTGCCTCTTACATCCTATATTGGATATTGCTCAGCCATTCACAGGCTCTGGAAAGAAAAAAAAAATTATCATTGCAGTCTTCCCAAAGCCCAGTGTGTACTTTACATTCTGAAAGATTTATTTTTATCTTCTTGAAAATTTCCTTCCAAACACACACAAAACAGTCACTGAAACCATGAAAACACACTGTGAACAAGATGGAAATAAAGCAAATTATTGTTTTATTCATAAATATCAAATACCCGTAATTATTTCTGACCTTCAAGACTATGCTAAATGGTAATATAAATTTCTTAGACCCTATATAAGGCCCACAAAACCTTTTACTTCAGGCTTTCAGTAATTACATTTCTCTTAGAGTAAAATGTTAATTCCTCTGCTTTCAGAGGAATTTCTTATACTTGCATTTAATGCTCATCATTAACAGCTGCTGTGTATAAATATTTACTCTATTGTGTTAACATGGTATCCAAGGAAATTATGTCTTTGTGATAGTACATTCTGGTTTTATGTCCTTCGTCTCCCCCACTAATAACATTTGAAATTGCTGGCCAATTTTTCTGAAGGAGTAGAGGTTTTGGAAAATTCCTTAGCAAGGTCATGAAAACAGGCAGCTGGAGAGAGGATAAAGGATAACCAGACATGAAACTGAGCTAAGCTCAAGGCTCATAAGCAGAGAAAATCATACTATGTTCTTACCACTACACTTTACTTGTGTATTCCTCTCTTCATATTCATATTCTCATATTCCTCTCTTCACATACTGGTGCCATATGGTTTTAACAACCCACTGTCTCTTTCTTGTTTGATGTCCAAGGTCTATGAAAAAGTGAAAAGAACAGGCTGAGCCCAGACAGACTTGGCTGAAGTCTTTGGAAGACATTTGCACACAAGCAAATTAAATCAGAATATCATGGGTGAAACATCCAAAAATCTCATCTCCAAAGGTGACATACTCCAGTGATTCACAAACAAGCTCTTCTGCTGTTTTTGTAATATCATCAGGGTTTTGGTACATTGTCACTGGAGAAGAAACACTATAAGGAAGCACTATCTAAAATAAAAAATAATAGTAACAACAACAGTGTAGTGCTATCTAATGCTTACATATGGCACTCTGCAGAATCCCATAGCATCTGACATATTTTAACTGATATTTGCAATGGATCAGGGCACTATATGGAATCAGTGATAGTATGGTGAAATAAGGGAAAAGCTGCATATAGAGGTGAGACAGAACTTTTGCAGTCACCCAGCAGTTCACTGAGGACAGCTACACAATATGGATTTAGGCATCTCAAATATTCTTGGAGAATTTGCTAAAACAAAGGCTAATATTACAAGATACAGCAACACCGGAATGATAATTACCTTTGCTTTATACTCTGCTTGTAGTGGTTGTAGAAGTGCTTATAAAAGCCTAGGTAGAATACAACCAAACCAAACAAATCATTAGCATAGGAAAGTAAGTGCTTTCACTGTGTTCAGAAATGTGTGAACATGTCCTCAACACAAACAGCCTAACATTGTACAAGCTAGGTCCCAGGGCAGTGGTGGAAAATATAAAAATGAAGCTTTCAAGACCCGGGCAAGGCTGACTCTTTCTCTGTGCCAGAAAAGATGGAACCTGGCATTGCCCTGAGCTGGACATGCAACAAGTAGTACTGCCGCCTGCATTGGAAGTTTAGACACTTTTTAAAGTAGAGATATACATCCCCAAGTCCCACTTATTCTAGATATTGTTCCATGTGGCTCTCTGCTCTGGGTGATCCCTCCATGCCAGACAGACACTTGCACTTGTTGGTTTTTGCAATGAAAAGTGGAGCAAAATGAAACTTGTGCCTTCAGTATTCACCTAGTAGCATAATCTACAGATAAATGTTTCAAAGTCAAGCATTTCTGAATTTGAAGGAAAGTTTTAGCTTCAATCTTTTAGATTTATCTAAGTTTTTCTCCACATCATGAAGAGTATGCATATACTAACTTTATGCAAATGTTGAGTTTCTTTCAGGAGAAATTTTAGGAGTTGGACCTTTTTGAGAAATAGTCAAAAACTTGATGATGTTGAATTGCTCCTCTGTAATGAAAAATATAAAAGTCATAGTAAGGAAAAAAAAAGACTGTTTTTCAAATCCATCATTTGATAGTCTTAAAATTGCAACACCAACACTGTCATGGTATTGCATGATATAATGTTGACAAGCAAAATAATTTCCCTCCAGGGGATTAAAAAAAAGTTACAAACAAACCAACAACAAAAAAAAAAAGGCCAAAACAAAAGAAACCCCAAAGTTAAAAGATACCTGAGAATGAAAAAAGACAAGGAGACAACATAATCTTACTAATGTACCATATCACTTGGAAATAATGTTAAGTAAACATTTTTAAGGATCTAAAATTGTCTGGTTTGAATGAAGTTCAAATTTTGAGCAATAAAGGATTTATATTAAAGGAGAAAAAGGAAATAGAAAATTATACTTTCTTACCAAAAATAAATCTTTTTTTTTTTTTGCCAATCTAAACTTTAGTTACATTCAAGAAAAGAAAATATAATTAGAATTTTTAATTTGAAGGAAACCTGAGTTGATCAAATTACTTTTGGAGTTTTATTCAAAATCATTCATTCCTCAGTTTTGCAAGTTCATGGATTCAAATCTAGAGAAAAAATTTAAGGTGAAATCTATGAAGTTAGGCAACTTACCAGTCACCTACCAGAAATTTTATTCTATAAGCAAAACCTAGCACTTTTGTGCATCTACAGTTTTAAGTAAGCTAGATAAGTGAGCCTAGTAAAATTCATCCCTTCCCAGAACTAAGACAAATTGTGGGCACTGGTATAATACTATTTAATCAAAGGCAAAATCATTCCAAGGATCAGACATACCCTGAGCTGATTTCATTTGCATAGTTTCACTGATTCCTGATGGTCAGGTAGTGCTAATTTATGTTACTTCATTATTTCAATGGAGCAATGCTATTTATATACTCATCATTTGTTATCCTGATACAATGCTTTGATAAACACTTAATGGGGATTTCTTCATAAAGCACTGTGAAAGATTTATCTTAGTAGCTGAGTACATTGTATATAATGGAAAAGGGAAAGTACTTGAACCAGAGGACAGATTCAGAATTAGAATTTTCTGACTGAAATTGAATTTAAAAAGTTACATTCTGTTTACACTTTATGGGATTATAGTAAAAGGCTGCATGAGCAGAAAACACTTTTTTCTCCAGAAGGCATAACTCTCCTATACTGTCAGGTGTGCCCTCAAAGGACCCCCTTTTTAGAATTTAGTTTGCTCTAAACCAGACAGGAATAATGTAATAAGTGAAAATGAAATGCCTGCCACAATCAGAACCATGGGAACATTGTACATGGAATTGTACATCTAGCAGAGAAAAAAGTCTGTCATGAGAGGAAATTTTTTATTCTCCTAAGTAATTGGCTGATCCCCTTTGGTCTCTAGCCAGCACATTCTTTTGCCTGTTCCATGGATCTGTTGGTTTAGTTTCCCCATTCACAGTTCCCTGTACACATCACTAAAACCCAATGCATTTAGCAACAATGAGGAAAAAACAAAACAAAATGAAAATTAAACAGCAAGAAGTGTTTTTTCTGCCAAAACTAAAAGCATGTACTGGCCTCTAAAATGCAGTATTTAACAATATTTTCTAGAAAATCCATCCATAGTCCCAAACTTCTAGTTTAAGTACCCCATGTCTAAAATACATGTAGTATTAAAAGGAAGACAGGGATCCTTAATCACAGAGATGAATTAATATCGCTGATTAGTGATATGGGTATTTCCAGAGCTTGAAAAGCATTATTCCAAGCCAAACTACCACTTTTAGAAGAACAGATAATACATTCAAATGCTGTTTCTTGCTTGATTAGGCCCATCATGTTCTCTTATATTTCTGACACACATTTTTAACTGGGGACAGATATATATTTTGTTTTCTGCTCTGTTCTACAATTGACTGACAATTTGTGGGAGTTCCTATGCATATAATCACACAGCACTAACATAACTAAAAGATATCTTACTGATGGATAGACGGTGAAGTCCAGAAGTTAATGAAAAAGCCTAACTACCACTAAAGGCATTGAAGGTAGAAGCTTCACACAGTTCAAAGTTATAGAAAAAATACCTTGCTTGCATCTGTTTCAAAATTATTTTTGTCATTTATAAGACAAGTATTTTAAGAATTCTTTCCATCCCCCATCTTCCTGACAGCATTTTTGAACTGATTTTATTTTAAATAACAATTTTTTTCACTTGATCGAGCCATATATATACAGCTCAAATGGCTAAAATATGGCATATTCAACATTTTGGAAAATATTTTACAAATTCTTGTGGCCTGAAAATCATCTCAGTTGTCAGAAAATTCCAAAGGTTAGCCTCTAAGCAGTGAGAGTCTTATGTTTATCCAAAGCTTTTCAAATTTCATAATTCTCCAACATGGAATCATAACTGCAAGGAAAATGTCAATTCCATGTTCCTTTTGCATTTTCACTTCTGCCTGCAGCTGGATCAGAAATTGTAGAAAATCAGGAAAATATATCAATTTTTTCTGTTTCCAGAAAGAGCTGTAGGACCTTTTTTAGTGCTAATTATTTTATATTTTTTTTCATTCTTATTTTAGCAATAGACTTAATCATACATCTGATTTTTAAAGTGAAATCAGATGCATTTGTTCAGGTAAGAAATCAGCTTTTCTTTGTGCTTTTGAAGGGTATTATTGACAGTAAGCCTAAGTACTGAGAAGTCATACTTGCACTATGAATTGTGTCAAGACAGCAGTGAGACCTAATTTGTAAAGGGCAGTAGTGAAAAGTAGTGCAAATTAATGGCACACCTTAATTGAATACTTGTTATTTCCTAATTATTTTTTCAGTTATGTCATTGTGCTCAAAAGGATAGTAGGAGCAATGTGGGTTGATAAAGTTTGACAACACAGGGCAGTCACATCAGCATGGATGAAGAGGGATTTCCAAATAAAGCACAAAACATGAGAAAAGATCCTTCTTTTGCAGTGCTGAAAATCCCACTGACATCTGTGGGAGCCAGGATACCTGGACCTCAGGCATTGCACTGAGAGATATGGCAAATGGGATTTTAGCAGGAATCCAGACAGAGAGGGGAAAGGAAAATCCAGTATTTGGACCTAACCATGAGGAATGCTGGTTAGGAGAGTACTTTCTTCTCTGTAATTTGGAGGAAAGAGAATATTCGTGAAACACTCAAAAGGATGTGGTGGCAGCAGTGGGGAAAGCAATGCCTAGACACTGCAAAAACAAAAGAGATTGATTCTGAGATATATGTAAAGTGGGAAATGATGAAAAAAAAACCTTCAGTATCCAGACCGAGAGGGTACAGAATGGCATATATATAGCATTCAGATATTGCAGATAATTCTATTCTTTTGACATAGAATATATCCTAGGAGCAGAAATGTCACAAAGCTACTTATAGAATTTGCTTCCATTGACTGATATTACATGATTTATTATCTTAAGTCATTAAGCAGCAGTACAAATTTGGGATGTAAATTTTGAGAGCCAGAGAAGGACAAACATCTGCTGTTAGTTTTCATGCCATTTTTAGAAAGACATGAAAGGCATGAAAGCCAAGGTTGAGATCTTCTGCTCATATTCATGTTAACATGCTGCTTGCAAACAGCAGAGCAATACAAATCTTAATCAGAGTTGAAAAGCATGAAATACTAAATGTCCTTGGAGGCAAAGGAGCCAACCAAAATTAGCACGAAGGAGTAACAATACAGAATTTGGAGACAGTTCCTGGGGTTTCTGTCCTGCATTGATCCAAAAACATGTTGGCAAAAGAGAATTGTGACAAAAACCACAAGTACAGTGCTAAAATTCAAACTGTAGGTTTACCAGTGTTGAAAACTTTAATTCTGAAGCAAATCTCCCTGCATATCAAAGCAAAAACGATTTGTGAAATGTTTTAGCTGTTTCAGTTGTAGTGCAAAGATGTGTTTCAACTGAGAAATTGTCTTTAAAATTTTCCAGTCAGTTCTGATCAAAATATTTCATTGGCAATAGAAACAGGTGGGTTCCTTAAATTAACACTGACATTCCTGCTGAAAATCACTGTCTGCTGATGAATTAAGTGATAATACACAGAAAAGCTAGTTGGTCACTCTAATATGGGACTGATTTTTTTCTGATGAAATACATTACAGCACTAGAACAGATGGGAATCTGTCACATACCTACCTAAAACAGAAATAATATTGCAGTTGACAAGGTCCAGCAGGAAGCAACAAAACAGTAAATTTGTCCTTAAGTCAGAGTTTGAGGGAAGCAGCCTGCCTGAGATTCTCTGATTTGGAAGAGTTAATGATATAAAAACTGAATGAATCCTGAGAGAGGTTCTAGCAAGATACACATTTAGAAATTCTGGCCTTTTCATTGCAAGTGATATAGAGGTAAATAACAATAAAGCAATGGAGAACTTAATCACATCCTTAATCCTGTCACTCAATTTAATAACTGTAAATTAATTCCCCCACAAAATAAACAATATTTAAATGAGGTTTCTTTTTCTTTTTTTTTCTTTCTTTTTTTTTAAATTTGGTTTAATTTGGTTTGTTTTAATTTGTTCATTTCCACACGCTTAAGCAATGTGTCCCAAAGAAACTAAGTTTAAATAATGCTAACAAGAACCCAGTATTTTCAGCTGTGACTGTGGATGGACTGGATCCCATTGCACCACAAGCCAGCAGGGAGTCAGGGAGTCTGCTAATCCCTGCTACAACCAGGTCAGCTGTACTCTCCCCTCTATCACTGGATGCTTCCCGTAGTTTAGTTGAAAACTACTATTCCTTTTCTCTTTCAAGCTCTTCCAAGCATTAAAACCAAGTCAAAATATGCTTCTTCAGGCCCAGTTTGTTTCCAACCCAACTGAATACTTAATACTTGATTGTAGTGTGGGCAAAATCTGTGCCTTGTTCAATGAACTCACTGTTATATTAGAAGATGAAATCTACAGAATAATCCTACATCTTCTATGTTTGACCCATTAAGGAAACAGCATGGAAGAGGATTATGAAGCACTCAAACATTGCTAACTAGTCAGGGAAAATACAATGTTAAGAATCAAATCTAGACAAAGTGCATAGTTCATCTAGTTACAGAAATTCCTTCTCCTCAAGACCCAGAAGATTGTGAGCTGCATGTGAAGAGAAACACTATTTAGCATCAAGTCTTGTTTTCACTGAAATCGCTGATAATGATGAGTGCTGTCTTTGGGGAACATGAAAACAGACTTGCTAAAGTTGTTTGTGTGTTGTTGCTGTTGTTTAATTTCTTTCACTATTAAAAGGACTGTCTTTAAAAATATAAAAAACCTTTCAAAACCCCATGTTTTCACTGTTGCTTCATGAGTCATACTAGATAATAAGCCACAGACTCATGTATACTTGGTTCTAAGCATTGGCTAACAAGTTGTTACAACACATCATTTATACAATGATCTGTTTAATACACTACAGCTATAAAATACTTGTCAATTAACAGACCTTAATGACTGACCCAGAACACCTATATCCACATCCTTCAGATCTTTTTCACCAAATTTTACATAATTACAAAAATACACCAAATTTTTAGTGAAATCATCTTGTATACCCTTCACCTTTTTCTGTGGCCAGCTCTGTAACTAAAGAAATACCCAAAACCAAAGACCAACCAGCCAAGAAAACCTGTTTTCATCTACTCAGAAAGAGGGAGAGCTGTAAAAAGAGAAACAACCAGATGTCTTGCTAAGTAATGTCCATTGTACATCAAGCAATTGTTTCAACCTTCTTACTCTAAGAAATAACACAACACACGCATAACACTCTCACTCTACCTAGTTGTTTTCAGGAAAATGGCCTGGAATATATAGGATGAATTTTTGCCCTGAAGTCAATGGAATTTTTCTTACAAGATCTGAACAACATTTAGTCCTTCAGAAAGGTAAAACAAAACAAATTCAGAAATAAGACACACAGGATTTATTCCCCTTGTTACCATAATATTTATAGATGAACAGAACACTGTCAGCATACATTAGACAAATGAATGTGGATGCCAGATCCCCTATGCAAGCACAACTTTGCAGAACAGTTTAAAATAATTTTGATGGATAAAATAAGCATTTTAACAAATGGAACGTATCTTTTTTAGGAGGGGTAAACAAGGATGGATGGGATGTAGCATTTTCTGCATTATTTCTTAAAAATTCCTTGCCTGTTTTAACATTTGCACTGTCATGGTCTGAACCTTTCTTGGGATTTTGCAGCACTAAAAGGCATTTTAGAGAGGCTATAGAGTAAATTTTACAAGGTCAATTAGAAGGGAAAGGGAAATGTGTGTGATTTTTCCAATGTCATTTCTATGCAGGAGGGGAGCGCAGCTGTACATTGACTTTTTTTCAGCAGTTGATTTATTGCTGTTCATATTTACAATGCAGTTTCATGAGGAAAGGAATTAGAAACTCTTATTTACTGATTTTTAAAGGCAAGACTCTGTTAAAAGGGCCTTCTAACTAGAGGGTTAATCTCCTAATGTCTAAATAAGGTCTCCTCTAACTAGATGTTCACATTGTAAAATAAATTTTTGCTACTAAACCCAGTTGCCCAAGCTTTATGGGCAACCTGAAATCCAGATGAAGTTTGCTGGAAAAGTGACAGGCAAAGCTTGGAAATGTCAATAGAATATCAGATTGCAGTGGCAGGAATTCAGGTGCACACTCATGGCAAAAAGTGCACATGGCTTTTGGCAAGATGTTTCTTGTTGGTTTGTATTCTCATCTTATAATACAGAAAACAGAAAGCATTGCCTTGGACAGGAATAAGACTTGCTGAACTATTACCCAGAAATTTTGTCTCATCCATTGGTGCTCATTCAACAGGCCTTGTGACAGGTCCTGTGGGAGAGCAAGGACACAGAAAGCTGGCTTTGGGTCCAGCAGGCCAATTTGTGACAAATCAAAATCAAAATTGTGACCTCTGCTGGAGTGGAGAATGAGATAAAATTGCTCCTTTCCAGGTGTTCCTGTTTGTCCCTCAAAGCTCTTTGCAAACTGCTAGTTTTGACCACCTTGCAGTACTCAAGTAATACAGTTTGAGGAAACAGCAAGCACACTGACTGCAGATCTGAAATGAGGGTTGTATCTTGCATGCAGTTTTAGAGGACATCTGTCTCCATGACAGAAGAAAGGAGGAAGGACTGCCCTTTTTCTTGCCCTCTTTCTAAGCTGCAGTTCTGTGTATGAAAGAGACAAAACATCCTTTGAACTTTCAACCTATAAAAGCAACTCTAGTGGCAAATGACCCTGTCATGGTCCCAGGCTGGGTGAATGGTGAAACTATAAATAAAAGGACATTGTGAGTGTAAATGCAGTGAGCGGGAAAGAACAGAGCAACAGCTGGAGCAGACACCTACAGTGACCTTCTGTTTGAAGAGCTCTATAAACAAAGTGAGATGGTCTTAAAATGTACAGTGATGTTGTGGCCATCTTTCTCGTGGGCAATCAGAAGGGCAGCCAAAACTAGAGCAACATAAAAATGAGGATCAAACAAGCCATTTGGGCTTTCTCTGCAACTCCTTGTCTGTACAGGACTGTATGGCTGCAACCAGCACTGTCAGCCAACAAACAAGTACTCCAGATGGCTTTCCTCTGTCTCTTATAAAAATAAACCAATATATTAAAAACCAATAAAACTCTCATGCTGACAAATGAATTACCCAGGGATAGCTCTTCAGAAAATTATAGCAATTCTGCAAAGGAGAGAGCCAAAAAACAATTTTCAATGTTTCTTATGTCTCTCCCTCTCTGTGACAAAGATTTATGATAGTCTTTGAAGATACAAGCCATTACATCTCTGTTTAAAACTCCTAAATGTCATAGAGGTAAAAAGCCTAGCTTTTCAAACATCAGGACAGGTTATTGTCTTTTGTCTTTTTAATTTTTTTTCAATTTTATTTTAAATAATGGAGTAAAGTCCAATTTAAGAAAAATTAAAAGTGAAATCCAGTTGGTTAATTCAATGTGCTATAAGATGTATTGCTAAAACTTTTACATCTAACTCCTTCTAACCTTAGACCACTTGGAAATCTGCTGTCAGATAGGATAATGTGCTGCTTTTTGAAATTTACTAAAAAGATAATAAATTAGAATTAATAAATAATGAAGTTGTTTAGGATACACAGCATTCCAGCATCACTTCTTCCTAGTTTAGAGAGTTATGAAGATGTTCTGAAAATCAACATAACAAAATGAATGCCCAAATGGAACAAGAACTGAACTTGAAGTACTACAGCAACACTTGAATATAAAGAGAGAAGCACTAAATCTTAGATTTTGTTCATATTCAGTGGAAATTTACAGATAGGAGAGTAAATTGAGATTTAGTGTATCTTGCAGAAGTGGCTTTTTTTTGTTTGTTTGTTTGACTTTAACAACAGTATGGTACAGATTTGCAAACAGGAGCTAGCTCAGCCTGCACAGCTTGCTAAGGAAATACAAGCAGAAGAAATGAAACAGGACTGCAGTTAGTAGCATTCCATCATTCCTAATCCCCTGGTATTGTGGTTTGATCAATGATTCACAGCTGCAATACTAAATGTGTTAAATGAGCAGTATATCTGTGCTAGTGATTCTGTCTGCCCTCTGTAACACCTACTTTGGTGTTTTTTATCTCATTTAAAAAAAAACTTTCCAGTCTGAATGGATGGAAATCTGGTTTTCAATTCAAGTGTATTTTTTGGAGAAATGTTTTTCTTACTGTGGGTTTCTGAGTGTTGTTCTCAGGCACACCTGTGGCCCACAGAACTTGGAAAGCCAAACACTGAATGTCTGTAATTACCGACAGCTTAGACTCTTAATTTGTAGCACTCAGTATCCAAACAGATGTGGCAATATAATTAGGCAAATAATACAATTAGTTTGAAAATGGAGCAAGTCTTTTCAATATAATGTCCAATGGACTGCAAAAAAGTATTGTGTAGATAAAAAAAAAAAAAAAAAAAAAAAAAAAAAAAAGGCAAACAAGAGTAATATGTCCAGAGCTTCCTGGTGGTTTAAGAGCCTCCACAGCAGATACTCTATGCTTTTCTTACTGTATTTTTCTCTCTTTCCTTTTGTTTGTGCCATCTACTTGTTGTTAAGGTACTAGTTTTCAGCCTGATACAATAAATAACAGATGGCACACTCTGGACTTCAGCCAAAACCTGCTGAAAACAATTGAAATACCTCACCGGGATTTGCCACCTATTTCAGCAAGTTGTGGGAAAGGCTATGACCAGGTGGAACCGTGTCTAAACCTTATCATGTAGCCTGACTTCTGGGGTCACACAAGACACCTCCCCACACCTTGGATTACATGGACAACACTGCTGCTGTCAGAGAAGCTTGGAGCTGTCAGTGAACAAGTGAAAATCCATGGGTGGGTGCAGAAGGTGCAGGAGTGTTTGCAGGACAGGCAAGTCATCAGATACCCCTTGCTTTCCAAGGGAAAACAAATCTATTTAGTCCTACCAAAAAAAAAAAAAAAAAAAAAAAAAAAAAAAAAAAAAAAAAAAAAAAAAAAAAAGAAAAAAAAAAAAAGGCATATTGGATAGAAAATTTCTGGGTCCATTCCTTGATTTCGGTAGTTGCAGGTTGAAAATTTGTAGACTTTTTCATCCAAGTCTGCCACATCCCTGATAGATGTGCTGCTTTCTCAGGTAAGCACTAAGCACCCTGGACCTGATACTCTGCTGGACTCAGCTGCTAAGCCTTCTTAAAGCCAAGTCTTTCCAATTTGTATAGATACATAGTTTTGGGTTGACATATACTTTTAAACATGTAAATCAAGGAATGTGCTGGATAGAAGCCATGTATAGGAAAAGAGACAGTGGGACAGTGGAAATAATGATTTTAATTCTAGCAATCTGTAAAGTTAATGGAGGATAAAAACTCATTTGACTCCTAAATAAATTCTAACTGTCAATCTTAAAGTATTTATACAAGACATTCACTAGGATTAATGGTTAATTTCCTTTGAAGAAAAGAAAGAGAACATTAATTCTAAAGACACTCTATTTAACTGCTCAATCAAGAGCCAAATGTAATTTGAAAGCCCTAAAAAACCAACCAACCCACCCACCCACCAACCAAAAAACAAACCTGGTACTTTGATTTTGTTTTTAGTCTTCCTCTGCTCTGTTCCAAGAACTACTTTAAACGTAACTTATTTATCTGTATTTACAGATTTTTAAGGGCAGATAAAGGCAGTAAAGAGCACACATTCACCTTTCTTTTAGCCCATTACATGCTTTGAAAGTAAACATATATTTTTACAGTGATCTATGTCTAGAAGAGCTCAAGGGACACAGTAATATAAAAAAGTTTTTAGTATTGGAGAAATACTTGGAGGTAAGTTGTAGCAATATCCAGCACCCTGCTGTGCTAGATAACAAGGGAAAAGACTTGCAGATCCCTGTAAAGGGAGGTAAATGGGAGGATAATTTTGAGACAAATGTTTACCAAAAGTTCTCCTTATCATCATTATAGTTAACCCACTTCTTTACAAGAACATGTTTATATGTTCTTACAGGAACATATAAAATTGTTAGGAAACAGTAGGGCAACAAGAATCTTTCATTTTTTTACAGTTTTGCAAAAACAGCAAT